AACTCTTGTTCTTCTTGTTAATTTCGAGCTAAGCTTCCCTTAGCATGGACAATAACTCTTCGAGAGTCTTTTTCATATGCATCATATTGAAGTTCATGATGAACTATCCAAAGCTATTGGATAACGATTGTAATACTAGGTCAATGGATAATTCGGAATCCATTCCAACTTTAAGCTCGACTAGTCCGTTGATGTAACCTATCATTTCGGTGACATGCTTTTCGATGTTAGATCCTTCATCCACTCTAGCTCTAAAGAGCTTTCTCTTCATATAAGCTTTTAAGCTTCACTATGATATCAAAGGCTCGTATGCCTTTATATTGGCGCCTATGCTCTAATCTCATAGTAACAAACATGATACTCTAGCGGCGATCGTATCATCTCTATGTTTGATCCATGCTGTATGAGCTTCGACTTGATTATAAGGAGGCTCAACTAGGAGAGCTTTTAGAGAATTTTCTCATGTTAGTAGACTATCCTCAAATTTATTTTTCGGTCGAGGAATTGTGTGCCATTGAAGGCATTACTTCCATCAATGATCGATCATATCGATGTGTTGCCGATCATACTGTGCAATCCGACGAGATAGAAAAACATTCGGTTTGGTTAATTTAATTATATAAAATAAAATAAAGTATAAATTAAAGAATTAAAATATGTATTCGCTCTCACTATTTTCTTTAAGTTCTATAGCCTTCACAATATAGGACTCAAGAAAACTTTTGACTCATTTTCTTAGTGGGTTAGGATCTCATCCTCTAACATACATTAACCTTGAGTTATCTCAATAAGTCATACATGAAAGATTAGGTATGTAACTCATTACTAATTACATCTAATGTAATTAACCTTGAGTTATCTCAATAAGTCATACATGAAAGATTAGGTATGTAACTCATTACTAATTACATCTAATGTAATTAACCTTGAGTTATCTCAATAAGTCATACATGAAAGATTAGGTATGTAACTCATTACTAATTACATCGAATGTTATTCCTAATCTCGTTGGCATGATAACTCTTTATCATATCACATCTTATGTGAATACCAATCTTTGCCTATAAGTTTATTGGACCTTGAGTTATCTCAATAAGTCATCAACGACTAAGAGAGTTCCCTCGTCATAACATTGGAAGGTAATTAACTTAATATTTTATTTGAATGATTTAATTTGGTTAGTCTCATCCTAGTATGGATACTAATCGATAATCATATTATTCCTAATATGCATACCGACATTAGTCGCATAATATAGATACATCTCATGCTTGACACAAGGACCGATGAATGGTAATGGATCTTTAATACTACCCCTTCGAGCCACAAGGAGACTAGTGGGTCAAATACCTAGGTGAAAATTATTATAAATTCTTTATAAATGTCTCCATTTTTTAGTATCTTCTCCTCGTATATATTTTAATTTCTATCTTCTATTTTATATTTATTTAAATAAAAAACCTCGAGTTACATTCGAGGGGAATAAGATGAGAAGATAAATATAATGGAGTAATAAAGAAGGCGGGATGTGCATGTCCTATTTATCCAAAAATTATAAAAATTCATTCATAAAACTAGGTCGACTCATTCATACCATTCACCTATGCTTTAATCACATTGATATATGACATACTAATAAAACACATTTCATTTAAAATTTAATTATAAATCTATGTTTTGTTCATTTTATAAATTTATCAAAAAAATTTTAAATTTTAATTTTTAAAAATTTTCAAGCCCACTTTGGGTCCATAGGCTTTTGAGCCTTGAAGGTCTACGAGCTTCGATGCCCAAGCCCTCGACTTGATGAGCTTATACGCACCTACCCATGGTTAGTAGTCTAATGTGCGAGCGTCCGTCCGGCGCGCCTCCCACATAGGCGGCTAGGGGCCGTCACGCACCTAGGGTGCGACTAGCCTAGGGTTTTCTTATGCTTAGAGCGCCAATGTCCAAAGTTGCCTTGCGTGATTCCACTAATTTTTAACCTAAATTTTAGTTTTAAATTCATATAAAATATCAAAAATATAAGATTTATAATCGAGCATAACTAATTTATGTAGTTAATCATAATTAACATTACATACAATCAAAGATTCAACGAAGGCTTTGATAGCAATTGAAGGATCATACATCCTATGGAGGTGCGGAATAAAATAAAAATTTCCTTCATTTAAAGGGTCCAAGATCATGCCATTGAATCAACTAGCCACATATTTATGAATTAAGCAATGAATAGAGAATTTACCTCTTATAGAGCAAATTTAAATTCTTTAGCAAAGAAAGGAGTCGTCTAAGCATCCGGTCTCTATTAATTATCCACGCAGATATTAGCAACCACAAAAAAGCAATCAAAATTGATAGAGTACTAGCTTCATCTTTTTTATTTGTTTAGTGTTTCTTATAGAAACCTAATCCCGATAATTTTATGATAGCCCAAGAGATAGAGAGAGAAAGTTATGTTAGGGTTAGGGAGAAAACAATTTTCTCCTTACTTTTATTTTGGACTAAATGCCCTAAGTTTCTTTCTTGCTATTGTCAAATTTTCTCTTACATAAGAGTCTCTCTACCAAAAACCATCTCTTTTGTCATACCTCTCCTCCTATTTATGGGGGGAGAGTTTCCTTGTCCTCTAAAGACAAAGAGAGGGGATAATAACTAGTCTTTATTGGACTCTTGGTTGTTGCTTTCGATCCTCTAAGGATTAAGAGTTATTTAACATATGCACTTTTGATCTTTATCTTTAAAACATTCATCATTTTTCAATAAAGCTCATGTTTATCCTCTCATCAAAATATCTTTAGACTTTTAATTAAACCTATTGACTCAAAACCATTTTAGCTCAATTAATTAATTTGGACTATCTAAATAAATAAACTTCAATAATTTTAGGTGGCCCACATTAGGAAATAATTTTTCAAAATACTCTTTAACCTAAATTAGGAAGCTCATTTCTATTTTATGTTATTTACTTTCAAATTTGGAACTAACTTCCAAATTAGGAAACCGATTTCTAAAATAGAAAACTTTTCGGTTTAGGAAACTTTTCATTTTCGAAAACCCTTTCCAAACTTTTTTCATTATCTTTACTTCTCTTCAATCATGTGATTGCTTCAACTTAGAGTGTAACTCAATAGGCTCTAGATATGTTGACAATGTATCAAGAACAAAAGACACATCTTTTATCTTTTAATACATAAGTCAAGATTGGCCTCTAGCAAAACATCATGACTACCTAATTTTTTAAGAGGATTAATTATTATGTTATTACCTTTCACAAGAATGTTACCATACAATTCGAGTCCTCATGTCAACTTATCACAAGTGTGATCTTGAACTTGGTTATAAGTCTTATTTGATTATGATCACACAAGTTTCCTTCGATTTCCAAATGTCTTAGCTCTTAGAGCAAACTAACTATGCCCTATTGGTGTACTCCTACTATGGTCATATATTTCTTGAGTAGACATTTATCGAAGTGTAATGTGATAACTCCTTTAGCATATAAGAAATGACATGTCATATCTTATTTATCCATCCACCTCCATTAGATTCCTAGTGCACCCAACGAATCGTCCACGTGCAATCCTTTACTAGTTATATCGAAACGAGTGTCAAAATACATAAATCCTCGAATAAGATAGCCGTGATAACTTCAAGTCTAAGGACCATTTATACCAATCTCGAATGAGATTCTCATAGAGTAAACCAAATGGGTTTTCATGGTAAGGCAAGTCCGGTGATATGTTTTTTAACATAAATCACCTAAGTGCTTGTTTTGGTATCATCATGCAAATAGGTGTAAGATCTCTTACTGCTATCATATAACATAAGCATAATACTCATAAGTCTAACTGCATATAGTCAATATTTATTTTTAATAATGCTATGACTTAGGATATTTAATGATATCATTTATATGTATTAGTGTTTGTCTCACATCTTTCGATCAATCACTAATGCAAAAACATATCATATGGACTTTTATCTAATTATATTCAATCAATAACTCGTAAATGATAAAAATTAATAAAACGACTTCTTTATTATAAATAATATAATAATATAATAACTCGAACTCATCCAAATATGGTTGGATCTTAGACATCTACACTAACGGACTATATTATAAAGGGATTCAAAATCATTGAAATTAAATATATGACTTTTAAAACTATGAATACTAGTTCATTAATTTTGTTAAACTAGCGCTTAACTTATAATTATTTTGTATAGCACAAGTAGAAAAAAATCATCAACCCACAAAATCTAAACTCAAGGTAAAAAACAAAAATATAAGGACTAATATAATATGTATATTTTTTTAACAAACATATCTTGCAATGTCAACTACTTGTAAATAGATGTCTAATGCCTAAAGGCATACGGATAAAAATAACGCCCTAAAGAAAGAAAAATAAAGATGTATGACTAAATAAACAAAACCCTAAAAATAGTAATCATAATCACAAGTTTTTTTTTTATTCAAATACCTTTAATTTAATTACAATGTTCCAATTTTTCAGAATTCCTTATGATTATAATCCGAAAACAGTCAAAGATGAAAAAAATAGAGCAGTCTGATTAAGAAAAACTTTTGAAAAAGAAAAATCTTTCTGTAATCGAAAATGAAAAAGTTGTTCTATGTCAGAGATTACAAAGGCGGACAAAAGGCTCCAAATTGTCCTAAATTGAACGAATAAGGGTTTACCTCAAACAATATTTTGTATAGGGATCGATTTGAATAAATATTTACATAAAATAGATGGATGACAAGCTATTTTTTATCTTTATTCCCTGCAATAAACGAAACACCAAGGCGGACAACTTCCAATTTTTCGTAATAGGTTACAACGTTACATTCCTCCACTAACTTTCTCTCTCCCTCTCCTTCCTCTCTCTGTATCAAACCTCCATTAAAGCAGCTGCTAATCCAGATCTAATCCCACAAATCTACGCGTCTAATCCATTTTTAATCACATTCAATTGAATTACAAGCAGAAATGCATACTCGAGGTGGATCAAGTACCCGGGGGCAATCCGGTTTGGGATTCGGGTCACGGGTTTCTTCACTTTTCCTAGCCATGTTTGCGACCATGGCTACCATTTACGTTGCTGGCCGGTTAGTTAATAACTTTTAAATTAATTATGACAATCCCAGTTGATCATTTTTTTAGTAATTAATTGTTTGATTAGAGTTTCTTAATTTTATAGTTTATGGCAGGATGCAGAGACTAGATTGCGTTTAGTTGAAGAACTTGATAAAATAACTGGTCAGGTTAGTCTGATACACACACACACACACACACACACACGCACACACACACACTTCTTGTGGGTTTAAGTAATTTGATTAATAAATTAACGTTTTTTGTTCGTTATAATTTCTTAGGGGAAATCTGCTGTTTCTGTCGATGATACATTAAAAATTATAGCTTGCAGGTAATTAGCTAAAATTTACTCTTGTTAATTTTGTATATTTGGGGAGACTAACTCGAGGAAATACAGTGGTAATGAATGTGATCAGAGTTAGTTAAATTTTTGTTGTTTAGGGAGCAACAGAAGAAGTTATCAGCAGTTGAGACGGAATTGGCTGCTGCAAGGCAGGCGGGTTTTGTTTCAAAAAAATTGGTTGAGAAGGGTGATGGGCATTCTAAGAAAAGGATTTTAGCTGTTATTGGAATTATTACAACATTTGGTCGAAAGAAGAATAGGGATGCTATTAGGAAGGCGTGGATGCCTACAGGTAAAATTAACTGGCTCGGTGCAAGGTTGACAAATTTTTAAGTGTAATTGGTGGTAGTTACTGAGATAGTATTGATTTCTTGCCACGACAGTTTGAATGCAATGTAGATAGATGAGCGTATAAAGATTAAAATGGTAATAAAGTAGGGGCGTTTGGGGATCATAATCTTAGCAACAACAATTTTACTAGTCTGAACAGAATTTTGGCAGGGTTTTTCATGTTGAGAGAATGCTAAACATTTCTGTGAAGTTGTTTTTCTTTTAGCTGTACTATTTATAGTGATATTAATATGCTACCAACATGGTGGAACTTCCTAGTGTAAAAACTAACTGTAACTGAAGTTGATATATGATTTGGTGGGTAGCTAATTTATTGAGTACTGAGAAAGGTCACTAATAATGGCTTTGGGGGTTGTTTGATGGCTGATTATTTTTTTATGGTAGATGATTTATGTTTTTATATACCTCAGTCATTTTAAATGTTTTACTCTATACTTTCAGTTGCTTCTTTGGATGGTAGTTAACCTATAGTTACAATATGTGCAGGTGCAGCGCTAAAAAAACTGGAGGATGAAAAGGGCATTGTATTGCAATTCGTAATAGGAAGAAGGTTTCTGATTTGATGGTTTATTTTTAATTTAGAGAGATATCAACTTTTTTTTTAATTCTGTCTTGAGAAAATTTTGGGGTCACTCCTTAAGTCAGCCTTATGTACGTTTTGCAGTCCAAATCATGGTGATAGTTTGGACAGGGAGATCGACAATGAAAATAGGCAGACTAATGACTTCATTGTTCTTGTAAGTTCACCAGTTAATTAGAATTAATTAGGAACTTTGAGCTTTTTAAGGTCTTTTAAATCCTTGCTTGCTGATAAAGATTTATACTAAATTCTGGATGATAGAAGTTAAGTTTCTTAACCATGCAACTTTCTAAGATGTTTGAATTGTAAAGTGTAATATTCACTGCTCTTTGCCTAAGCATTTAATAACTATGTGTAGACAATCTTAATTTATAATTTTGTCAGCCTAAATCTTAGTGTACTGAGAAACGAGCTAAATTGAACTATGCTTTAGAAAAATCCGGTTTCTTGTATTCATGTCGAGCAATCTGATTTAATATTGTAGTAGCTGGTGTATGTGCTTAATAAGTTCCATCTGCTTCGGACAGCATGTTTAATACATGGTAATTTGAAGGAACAGATATTATTTGTGTTATTCACATTCCTTACTTGCCTCAACAGGATGGTCAAGTGGAAGCAATAGAGGAGCAACCAAAAAAGTCGAAATTATTCTTTATACATGCTGTAGAGACCTGGGATGCTGAATTTTATGCTAAGGTCAATGATGATGTTTATGTTAACATTGGTATGTAGTCTACATTAGCATCCTTGTGATAATCAAGCCAACTGTGTGGCATTATTGTGATATACCAGAAAAAGGACCTTATAGGTTATTATAAAGGCTTATTCATGAGAACAATTGAATCACAAATGGCAGTAATGTTGAAATTAGAATGGCAGCCTAAAATTTTTTAGAAAAGTAATGCTCAACTTCATAGGTTATTTTGGAAGCTTGAATGCTGCAGAACTATGTAATTGCATTTTACACTGAGTACTATTGTTTATCCTTTAATTTACCATACAGATGCCCTGGGAGCAACACTTTCTACTCACTTGGATAAACCTCGTGCTTATATCGGGTGTATGAAATCAGGCGAAGTTTTTTCTGAGCCGTGAGTTTGATCAAAATTGTTTGTCCAAGAATAACTCATTTATTGGTGCAGAGAATAATGTTTCATAACAATATTATCTGGAACCCTGATATTACATGCATTTGATAGGACCCAAAAATGGTATGAACCAGACTGGTGGAAATTCGGTGATGGAAAATCGTAAGTAATACAACATTGGTTTTGTCTTATTCCTTATAATGGATCGATATTTATGATCTTTATAGTCTGCTTATATGCACGGCAAGGTAAGCTTGCCTTTTGATGGTTTAAGTCTTGATAGAAAAATACCTATTCTGTTATGGTTTTCATAAATCCCATTATGGTTCTTTATTGGTGTCTGCTATGTTGTTTGAACCTTGGCCCACCAGATATGTTATATGCTTAGTTCTTCAAAGTCAGGATAATATATATGGTGCTGATAAAGCATGCACTGCCAATTCTTCATAGTGTTAAGAAATCTCTTTTTGGTGCAGATACTTCCGACATGCATCGGGTGAAATCTATGCTATTTCACGAGCTCTGGCTCAGTTTATTTCAATTAACAGGTAGTTTATTTCTCACTGTTTAGCTAATGCACTTGATAAAATAACGTATATGGCTTCATGAGTCAACCACTTATTTTGTTTTTACAGGTCCATTCTCCGTTCATATGCCCATGATGATGTCAGTACTGGATCATGGTTCATTGGGCTTGATGTAAAGCATGTTGATGAATCAAAATTTTGCTGCTCCTCATGGTCCACAGGTCTCTCTCTCCGTGTGTCTGTTTGTCTGTTTGGGTGTCTGTGTTTGTGTGTGTACAAACAATGACTTTATTAGGAAGAAGTCACGAAGGAGCTAGAAAAAGGCCATATTAACTATAACTGTCAGGGGAAAGGTTGAAATTGAGTTTACTTAAATGCAATTGTTGAGCTGGTTTTGCTAATAGTGGATTTTTGCATGTGGATTAGCTGGTTCCAACCAGTAGTCTTCAAACGACACCCAGATGGAGATATTGCCCATTGTGATGTCCATGGAATCTATAGTAAGCAAACCACCCACCATTCTCTCCAAAGCAGCCCCCAACCCAAGCCTCATTGTACAAAAATGGTGTGACCAAGCAAGGTTAGAAAAGTTATAAGAAAACCGAGATTCAAACTGTTGAGTTGAAAAGTTGTCTTGCACTCATCTCTGTTGCATGATAGACTAACACAATGTTACAAGACTCTTGGGTAATCGAGTAACACCATGTTGAGATATTGCCCATTGTGGTGTCTCATGGAATCTATAATATGCTACATTCCCCAACCCAAGCCTCAGCGGATATTATACTATAATGGTGCGAACAATCAAGGTTAGAAAAGTCAGAAGAAAACCAAGATTCAAAATGTTAAGAGTTAAAAAATGATGTCTTGCACTTATCTCTGTGGCATGATAGGTTACAAGACTACTGTGCATGATTGCTAGGTCTTTTCCTTCCTGATAATAATTGCTTAATCTCGAGGAGAAGAGATCATATCGACTTAAGTTTTTATTGATTTTATTTGATATTTCAAATCCAGGGTCAATATGTGCAGCTGTGTGATTGGATCTGCCTTGTTTAACATTCTACCTGAATCTAATATATAGCAAGGAAGGCCTGTGTGATTGGATCTGCCTTGTTAACATTCTACTGGAATCTAATACATAGCAAGGAAGGGTTCCCTTTTCACGCACCCTCTTTCAGTCTTTCTGGTTCCTGATGACAGACACATGAACTCTCATGCAATGCATCTGGTGAGAGTTGATCCTGATTGCATCAAAATTGTGAAATTGTTGGTAGAAGAGGTATTGTGATAATCCCTGCGTTTAAAAAGCTACTTTAGGGTCATTCAAAACCTTTAGACGAGATCCATATATATAGTAAGCATTCATGAAGATTTTGTATACTGCAGGATAAGTTTCTGTGGAGATGTATTGTGATGGCCATGTATTCATTCTTGATTTTTTATGATTGAGCGATACTTCAGCCAGTTAAAGAGACTCTTTTGGATTTTTTTTTCCATGTTTTCCTTTTCATTTCTTTTTCAATGAGAAGCAGATTCCTCTCCTATTTGGGAAACTAGAACACCGTTTTTTCTCTCTCTCTCTTTCTTGTCATCTCCTCTATGAACAGGCCTATCATCCTTAGTAAGAATGTCCATGAGTTGGCTTCGGAAAATATTTAATGTCAAAACTAGAGGAAAGGTTTCCCTTCTAATAATCCATAATCACAACTACATATGTGGATGTTCTGCAGGAGAAGCTGGGAAAAACTTAATTGGAACAGCAGGAGAGATGGTCTCAATTGAAAACAGAAATTGATTTGGCGAGCCTAATGACACTTTGAAATACTGTTGGAAGCAAAATTGGTTGATGCTGTGCTGCAGGATGAATGTTATATCCAATTATGCTTTGTTAAAGGGAATTCTATCACAGTTCAAACCTTTTCTTTGAGGTCTCCTACTTTTGGATGTCAAGGCTCAGAACCATAATTTCCAAGTACATTTTCACTAGGTGGGATATGCAACATTTTGTCTTTCAAGGTCTTGTATAGAGAGTATGAAATTCTTCTAACCGGAGGTTGGTTTGACTTTATAGAGGTTGAGCTCGGGCAGGATTTGCTTACATGCACAAGATTCTATTCCCACATTGCCTTTCAAAGGGTCCATGACGGTGTTAGGATATTTCCTCCTGTGCTCAGGTACACCTACCAAAAAAGAAAAACTCAAAAAGATCCCTACGGAAGCAAATCGTTAAAGTGAAACGAAGGCTAATAAAGAGAGGTGCATTGTATCTCTCTGATGAGATGACATGAAAAGGACGACACAAGCATTACCACGTCCAAGACATTTCCTAAAGTACTTCTAGGAACGAAAAACGCGGAGAACTGGCTAGACTTTGTCAACCTTTGAAATTCAGTAGCCGCTGCTACCTTGTCTGAGGTTCTAAGCTTCCTTCTGTGGGTCCTTGCTTGAGTGTGTAACATGGTATATCTACCTCCACCAACCTCCAAGGTCAATATGTCTGTTAAGTTAATACTTTTAGGCATTTGTCATGTCCCCTTGAAAAGATCCTGTCCAAAAACAAAAAATTTTGCTAAACTTTTTTTTTTAATAATAATAATAATTTGTGCTTTGCAATATTACAGTGGCTATTGCCCGTTGTGGATGAGCTTGCAAGAAAAAATTGCGGAGCTATTCAAGTTGTTCTTAAGACATATTCCAATTTTTTTAGTGGGCTGTTGCTGTAACGATAGTAAATGTGGTTGATATGAGTTGGTGATATGAAAAGGGGAAATGGCACAGGCATTGAAAGCCACAGATCACAAAGGACAATTCTCAATAATTATTTTATTTTAAGGCCAGCTTTAAACAAAAGAGTTGCTTGGCTTCTTCTCTGATAGAATTTTCTTTTGTCATCAATTTATGGCATTATTTTTGCTCCTTTTATATTGTAGGCTTATTGTATCAAAAATATAAATTTTATATTTTTTAATTATATATAAATTTTTTGAGACAAAATTCTATTTTCAGCTGGTGTGATAGAAAAAATAGGGTGACAATAAAGATTAAATGTCATTTGATCTATGTATTTTTATCTAATATTAAAATAACTTGCTAATATAATTAAAAAATATATAATTTGTTTGTGTGTGTGTGTGTGTTTTATTTTTTATTTTTTTACAACAAGCGTTTGTTGAAATTGATTCAAAAGCAGAATACTCTTTATTTAAGGGAAGAAGAGAAGAATCATCTGGTCTAGGGAGGCCAAAACTTTGAATATTCCACAAAATCTTTCAAGAGGTTAGTTATTCGTTAATTCAGGTATATATACATGTTCATGTCGCATGTTCCAACTCGAGTCCACATCAAAAGTGTCGAATCCCAACAGCACTAACACATCATCTCCGCGCTAGAAAGTACAAGAAACAAATGCACATGTTTGCTAAGTCCTATATACACTTTTAGACTTTTTTAATCATCTTGATTCCTTCTGTATTTATCATCCGATGAGGATTGTTTTGTCTACAGCTTCAATGCCTGACCCTTGAAGATTTCTTTAATATAAAGACAAGGTCATTCCAAATCTGTCTTTTATTTTTATTTTTTTTTGGTTTCCTTTCAAGAAGTTGTGGTCCATTCTTGACTCTTACTAGTTGTTAGGCATTAAGTTCTGTACTGCTGTTCCATATTATCATCATTAAATTTTTTTTTTTTTTTGAAACTGGCCACTTAAAAAGAAAAAAAAACGTTTCAGTTCAAACTTTGGACTTTTGTTAATTGTTGGAAGGTTCTCATTTTTTGAACCTATTTCGGTTAAAATTTCAGACAGTTAGGTCCTCTGGGTGGCGTTCTGTTTTTTTTTTTTTTTTTTTGGAATTCAATTTTTGTCTTAGCGTTGTCTTTTTTTTTTTTTTTTTAGAAGAGTTGGAGATAATTTTGAGTTATTGCTCTGTATCTTGCTAGTTTCTTTTTTTATCAGTTGAGAGGATTTCATGTTGTCCACAATTCTAACGGTAGAAAGTGGAAACTAGTTGGGGTTTGTTGAGATTTTGGTTTCCAATCACGGGAGATAAGGTTTTGTCACAAGAAACCTGTTCAAATCTTCAACTACTTCAGTAACTGCTGAGCTTCTTTATCAAGTACTTAATCGCTACTGGTTTGGGCATTTTACCCGAAAGAGAGAGAAATTGAGAGACAATTTTGTGTTGCTGTTTCTTTTAATTTTGCATCCTTAATTGTGTTTTTACACTATGAATCGTTCTGGGGCTGCTAGTGACCTGAGGGCAGCAGCAGCTGTTGAAGTTGCAAAGGATAGAAATGGAGTTGATCAGGTTGTGCTGCGAAACCGGCGAGGGGCTTCAGCTCGGGTCGGTACAATTTCTTCCCTTTATGTTCTTGTGTATTGGTTAATTTAATTTCTAAGCTGAGAAATGACTGCAATGATAGAGTCAGATGGAAATTGTGAAGTTTGGTGATTAGACGTGTTATGCAAGCTGTAGTTCTGGCTTGAAAGGATCTTGATATATTTTGTGAAAGCGTTCAGGTTAGCTTGCATGGAGGACAGGTGCTGTCGTGGAGGACTGACCAGGGCGAAGAATTGTTATTCACTAGCAGTAAGGTAAATTAATCTTCAGATTTCTTAGGCTTTGTTCTTAATTTCTCTGTTACTGATGATATTTCTGTGATTGGCTGATGAGTATGTTGTTTTTATTTACTGCAGGCAATTTTCAAGCCACCAAACCCAGTGAGAGGAGGAATTCCCATTTGCTTTCCTCAGGTATTTTGAGCTTGTCGTGTCGATCAATTATATGCCATTTTTTTGGAGATCTCTGACTAATAGGTTGCTTCAATTTGTGTTTAAAGTTCGGAAATCGCGGATCGCTAGAGCAACATGGGTTTGCTAGGAAGAAATTTTGGGTGATTGACCAAAATCCACCACCATTTTTTCATCACAATGACTTCAATGACAAAGTCTCTACCGATTTACTACTTAAGCCATCTGAAGAGGATCTAAAGATCTGGCCACATAGGTATGACCTTTAACAATTACATATCTTGATGATCATCCTAGATGAGATCATATGATTGCAAAACCATCCTTAGATAATATTCAGCAGGAGTTTTTATTTTTAATATGATTATATCACTAAGTCTGACCAATTCTCCTTGGCTCTTGTGATTCGGTGTTGGTTTTCCAATTCAAGAATCAAGGGATCGAGAATTGGTAGCAACATGAGTAAATTATAAATTAATCACTAAGTCTGTTTATTATATGTTATTAATTAATCAACAAAAAGGTCAAATACCTGCTCCAGATATCTACGTAATTTTGCATTAATTTTCTTATATTGCACAATGGCATCATGAAGATGGTTGATTGACTTTTCTGTGGCCTACGCTTTTCAGTTTCGAGTTTCGGCTTAGGGTGTGTTTGACAGCAGAAGGGAATCTAACCATGATATCGCGCATCAGGAATATCAGTTGCAAGCCATTTAATTTCTCAATTGCTTTCCATACATATTTATCAATCTCAGATATCAGGTATATGAAAACTTCTAGATTGGTTTTTCATATGTCGCTGTCATGGAATTTAGTCATGCTCTCATGCCTTGAAAAAACAGTGAAGGCTCAAGAAATAGAAACTTCTATTCTTCAAAGAAAGCCTCCTGTCTTTTTAAACCCAAATTGTATGTGCCTAGTAGTTCTCTTACTGCCATAGTAGGCTTCCGTTTTCTTGGTCTCCTCAAAATTCAGTTTTACAGACAAGAACTTTCTGAGCTAGCTTCTAGGTATTTATCCTTGTGGCTTTGACAAGCTATGTTCATTATGTATGATAATTGTCAGCTTTAACCGAGTAGTGCCGTAGTTCAACTTTAATGTTTATCAGCTTCATTGGGGTCAAATTATAGTAAGTAATTTCATTTCCCTTTTGATACTAAATGGCAATCTTGTGCTAACAGTGAAGTAAGAGTAGAGGGGTTGGAAACTCTTGACTATCTTGACAACCTTTGCCAAAAAGAGCGCTTCACAGAACAAGGAAATGCCTTGACATTTGAATCTGAGGTAATACTAATACATCTTCTAAACAGCTATTTGAATTCCTCGCAACTTCTTGGCTGAGCTGAGAAAAGTGTTTCCTGATTTGCAGGTGGATCGGGTTTACCTCAGTTCTTCAGATGTGGTTGCTGTTTTTGATCATGAGAGAAAGATGACATTCACCGTCCGGAAGGAAGGACTTCCAGACGTTGGTAAGTTTATTTTTCAACCAACAATAAAATAGTGTTCACGGCAAGTGCTCTTGGGTGGCAACATTTTCTTGCTCACAATAACGAGTCTGAGACAATGTACAGATTTCATTTATGTATTGAGAGATTGAGCCACTTATGATCACTTGTCTCTGCTTGTAAACAGTGGTATGGAATCCATGGGAGAAGAAATCCAAGTCCATGGTAGATTTTGGAGATGAAGAGTACAAACAGATGCTTTGTGTTGATGGGGCAGCAATTGAGAAGCCAATTACATTGAAGACAGGTGAGGAATGGACAGGCAGGCTAGAGCTCTCTGTAGTCCGTTCGTGTTGATGAAGTCACTGCCGTCTTGAAAGATATTTGATGATCATGCAAGGCATTATATACTAGTAATAAGCCACTTAATATTTGCTTGCTGGCTAGTAGCATCACAATACAATATTATTTCATTCAGTGTTTATAGTGCAGAAAATAAAACCCATAGTCAGCTAATTTCTGATGCGGTGACTGATATATAGAGATATTTGTTTTATTGTTTCTCCATTGTAGCAGCAAATAGCAACTACATAAGGGATGTACCCCCGAGAATTGTATATATTTTAGATTGTTAGTTTACTTCCATGGATTCTTTTGTTCTGTGTCTCTGCAAATAACAATTTCATATGAGCAGCATCTATATTACCTAAGCGAAAAATAAGGTTAGTTTATGTAATTGAATACCAACTATACACATTGGCATCCAAATAATTAGATACCCTACGAAATGGTCAAACCCTGGATACTGGGTGGCATCCAGAAGGCAAACACATCACGTATGACTAGCGAATAAGATTTTTGACATTAAACACTTTGAAGAGTATATGATTCCTTTTTTGTTTTTTCCCTCCAAAACTCAAAAAGAACAAAAGATATAAGTAAAATGGATAAAATAGTATTTTTTAGCCTTGATGGATTCATCAATATTCAAACTTCAATCATAATTTAAAAGTAACTCTCACCGCTAAATACTTTCATGGAATTTAACCCCCTTTTTTCAAATTTTAATTTCTCTTATCTTTTCTTCATAAATCCTCGTGCATTTCATCTTATCTACAAATTGTTAGAACTTAGATAGATTAAAAACACAATTTAACGAGTGGGCCCATCGTTTATTTAACGGGCATGGGCGCTTTAACTTTAAGTTTCAAATTAGAAATTTTTAAACTGCATCGTCCGAAATGAAACATTTTAAATTTATAGGGGGCAAAATATAAATTACCCAGTGTTAAGAAAAAAAGGGCAAAACACTGGGCGGAGAAGCTACTCTGATATCAGAGCCAGGTTTCGATCCTGGGACCTGTGGGTTATGGGCCCACCACGCTTCCGCTGCGCCACTCTGATTTGTTGAAAATGTTTTCTCCAAGAAATTATTTAAATGTAATACAATTTAAACCCTTTGAAAACAGGTAATCTCTATTTATCCTTGTGGGCTGTTGTCCAGACAGACAACCTGTGCCTAATTAAACTACGATGTGGACCATGAGCCCAAAACAGTTTAATAGATTTCATTTCATTGATAATACACACTGTACAGTACAGCAAGATAAAGCCGAACGGAAAAAGGCCATCTGCACCAAATCATGTCCACAGGAGTCCTGATTCTTTGCTACTTCAATATTCCCTGCCCATAACAGATGAGGCCAAATTTTTACCAAATCAAAATTGAATTATTGCTTTTGCAATTGTTAGACTCTGTCATGCTGCAAGCATTCTTCCTCCAATTGAAAAAAACAATGTTGACACTGCCAAAAAAAAAAAAAAAAAATGCAGCAGCCTTATAAAAATTTCCAATTCTTTCACTCATGTACAATGGCATAGGTCCAGCCAACGAGGAGCCATGGAAAGATCCAAATGCAACTTTTTATTTGAACAACTTTAATAATTGGATGCTCTTTTGTTTTTCTTCTTTAATTCATAACAATCCCATTTGGAATTTTGGATGCTTCCATGAAGACGAGAATGAATAGTGTTGCCGAAAGGGGTTTTGAGACACTGGTCATGGCGTTGAGTGGTTAAAATTGTTGGGCCTAGACAAGCAACTTGTACACAATTTTATAGTGTTTGACCAAACTATAGACAACAAGGTAGGCCCATGATTTAATAGCTTTGTGATAAGAGCCATAAACCCTAAAAAGGAAGTTAAGATCTGGTTGAACAAAGATGGAGACATGCACCACTAATCTAGTAGGTTGGTTATGAAAATGAAAACATTTTTTATACTATTAAATTAGGTCATATCTTGAACTATGGGTCAACTTAATGAGCTTTCAACTTTAGAAAAGCTTCTTGAATCCAATTCTTATTGTTGTGTCCACTATGGGCGCTGGTCTGGTTCCGACCGATAAATGACAATGAAGAGGAATTTTTTAACTCTTCATGTAACTTTATTTCATTCATCAATTCCGAGGATAATATATAATTTCATGACAAATTAGTTGACATCTCTTAATCCATGTTAGATTGCTTAATTCTTATCCGGTAACTTCATGACTTTTTGGTGCAAAAAATATCTTTTCTAAAATGTGAATCTGTTTGATATTGAAGTTAATATTTTTTCGAGAGAGGTTAAAAAAAATCTTCTTAATTATTATTACTTTATTATCCATTCCTGAGAAAATCAAATTTAACCCGTGCTTAAGTAGTTGTAATTTGTAAATACCACAAAAAATTGTTACGTGATGGAAGCATGCCAATATCTAGAGACTATATATATTTTTATTCTTGCTTTTTATCATTCAACAACATCTAGAGAACTTGATTCGTGAAGCAATTTGCTTTGTTAGGGATTCGATAGTTTATGATTAGTAATGGGATCTTAATATTTAATACTGTATTGATGGTAACATATATATATATATCAATTTTGTATTTTACCGGATATTCTTTGCAACAGAATCAGGATGGTCAGCTCTCGTTTACTTATGTCAAATCCCATTGAAATTAGCATATTTATTTATCCAAAAAAGCTTAAGGAATGGAAGGTAGAAATGGAGTAAATTATAAATTAGTAACAAATTATTTATTTTTTTCCATTTTATATGATTTTCTTTTCTTTTTGTTCAAAATAGAATTAAAAAAATAGATATTATCAAAATATTGATGGAAAAATAATAATTTTTTAGAATAAAATAATATTAAATTAAACATGATCAACACTCGATTAAGAAATTAAATAATTATTTAAAAAACACTATTAATTAATTTATTTTTCAAAACTAGAAGGATTACTTTATAATTTATTCCAAAGAAAGACTTGGTTAAAAAAAAAAAAAAGAGAGAGAGAGAGTGAGAAAGAAAGGGATGGACATGTGTAGATAATCCAAATCCGACATAGTTAAATAAAATAGTATAAGTTTTTTACAATCCAAATTCAATTATGATATAAATTCATTAATTCATTTATTAAATGAATAAGACACAATTATATTGATATGATCGAATAATAACTCCATTTGTAATTAAAAGTAATATTGTTTTTAAATAAATATAATATTTTACAAATAGGGGTGAAATTGAAAGAAGAAAAGTCAGAAAAAATAATACAGGGATAAAATCGAGAAAAACAAAAAGAACGAGGACTAAACAAATACATGTGACTTTACCAAAAAAAAAACACCCCATCAACTATAAATAGCCTCCTTCTGTCGACATTTTCCGACCGAAAGCCTTCTCTTATTTTCCTACAAAAATTTCTCTATCCACGAAGTCCAGCAGCTCCCTTCAGTAATTTTCGACCATTTCCAGAAAGTTTGAGCTTGGATCCACATGTTTTAGACATGAACAGTAGATCCAACAATTTCATTGTCGTTCAGTTCCTTAGTTTTTACAGACGAAGAAGTTCGGTCCCTAACCTTTTAGTTTTGATAACAACTTCCTATCTCTTCCTTTTACATGTCAATCCTCGATTTGTTTGTTTGATTTGACGTGATTATGATTGTTTTTTATGATTTGGGTTGATATATTGGTCCATTGCAGAGGATTGGAGGTTGATTAATTGATGGTATATTAGAAATATGACCTAAATTGACATTTTTTTTTTAAACATAGACTTTTTATGTGTTTTCATGATTTGAAAAAGATTTTGATATGTCTTTCTCTGAATTTTTGATATGTTCTAAAAACATGTGTTTTTAAGCTATGTTTTATATATATATTTTTTTAATTTTATTTGGAATTTGTTTTGATTTTTTTTTAGTTTGTGCTGCACATCTGTGGCCTTACATCAAAAATAAATTTGATTGATGGTACTTGCTTTGATTTTTTAATTTCTTGCCAAAACATACTTTACCGCTAAGTAAAAATATCGATATCAATACATCTAATCAGATTTATTTACTTTGGCTTATTTGCTAATGACAGTCCTAAATGGAGATAATGACAAGCAGATTATGGAGTTCGAGAATCCTATAAATCTACGTTTATCTTGGAAAAGAAAATTGACATCAAAGGTATGGCAAAATTTTCAAAAATTTATAGGACCAAATGAAAAGGATATTGTTGAGCGTAAACACTGCAAGAGATAACCTATAGGCCAATGCAGTTAAAGGAAAATAAATGTCAAAGGACGTATCTCTATTTGGTCCTTATATTTTTAAATTTTTTTTATTAAGATGCTTTATTGTTTTCTGTTGTAATTGAAACCTTATATTTAAAAATTTGTTAATTCAGATTCTTCTTTATAATTCTATTAATTGTTCATCTAATGTAATATATTAAATTAGTGTTCAATCATGAGTGGATATGTAATGCATAATAGGTTTCAACCCTAAAATCTGGTCAAAAAAAATTTAAAAAAAAAATTAAAACTTTTTTTATTATTAAACTAACTATTAATATTTAATAATAATTAGAAAAAAAGACAACGTTGCTCCCGCTCTGTTATTATCAATTCGACTCGAAAAGCAAAGAGACTCAAACTGTTCAGGTTTTATCTCTCTCTTTTAATATTCTCAATGGATCTCTGCCTTAAGATTTTAGTGGTAACAATCTTCACTACTTAAACAAGCTTTCTGGTCCAATTCCACAAGAATTCGCCAATGAAATCCCCTCTAACACTACTAGGATCTATCATTCAACAATCAGACAGGAGAAATTCCCGAATCTAGTCTTTTCTTGAATCAACAAACCAATGCTTTTGAGAAATCCTAGTACTTGCGGCTAGCCAGCAAGAAACCCTCTAGGTGAAAATGTTGCAATTTCAATAATTATAGGCTCTGGTCCTGCAACTACTCCTCTAGGTGAAACAGCAACAAGGTCTGGACAAGATGAAGTTGGGCTTAGGCCAGGAACCATTATACGCATCTGAATCGGTGGCATTGCAAGAGTTGCAATTCTTGCTATGATTTTCTTCTACGTATACCACTATTTAAAGAGAAGGATGGATGTTGAAACAAGTAACAAGAAAGAAGCCAGTACTGCAAAGGATAATTGGTCATCTTCATCTTCAGTCAAAGGGTTGGCAAGATGGGCGTTTTTACACAAAGACGGCGGCAATGTTGTCTTTTCAAATTATTTTAAAATACTAAATATTAGTTTAATAATAAAAATATTTTTATTTTTATTTTTTCAGAGATACCTTATTTGTGACTTATTATGAAATGTATCCATTTGTGTTTGGTCATTGTTTATTTTAACTTCAAATTCATAGACATTAGAGAATCTTAATCAATAAAATTTTAAGAATAAAGAATTTTAATTCAATGAAGATAATATATATATATAATCTCAATATTTTTTTAAAAAAAATACATGGATCAAATATGGAGTAAATTCAAATATTAAATGTGACTTATAACACTGATGGAAAAAATATTAATATGGAGTATTTTAGGTTTGATCATACTTTTTACTTAATTTAAAGAAACTTTTATTATAATTATTTGATTTTAAACTCCTAAATTATATGACATTTTGAATTTTTTTATAAAATTAATAAATAAAATATTGTATTATTATTATTTTTTTTTATGTATGTTGGAGTTGACATATATTTTATATTAAAGCAACATATTAAATTAAATACGCACCAATCTTTTTATAAAAAAATAAGTGTTAAACTCAATAAAACTAAATATACAAGGATCTGAATCTAGTTGGGATATTTTTCAAACACAATTTAAATTCATAAAATTCAATATGTTTTATCAAACAAATTTGATGCAAATCCACTATTATTTGAACTAAATCCAACCAGATGACAATCCAAGACGTGAGCAAAGGGTTCACCTTTAGTTTTCAAATGCGAGCAAAGCAGTCTGTCGACACTTATCATCTGATGGATCTTTGCTTGCTTTCGTGGCCCTGATAAAAAGGCAAGTCTCAAAATTACAGGTCACCCATATTCCCAATTCACGGTAAATTAACTTTTTGGAAGGTTTCTGACCGAAAAAGGTAAAGTTAACTACGTTAAGTAAAAACATAGTTTTCAAATGAAAAGATAATATGGAAGTCAGTTTCGTATCATTTGCAGTTTTTTTTTTTTTTCATTCTTTACTGAAACTTAAAAAAAAAAAAAAAAAAAAACAACAACAACGACAACCATTGTTATAATTTTGAAAAAAAAAACATTTTTTAATTTAAAAAAATTGCAACAACTGTTACTTATAAAATTTGTTATTTAAAAAAAAAAAACCAATTTCAAAATTTTAGAAATAAAAACAGAAAACGAAAGGATGCCAAACTTTAGTTTTAAGCTTTGAAGATTTATGGAACATAATCAAAATTGTAATGTATTTAAACTTAAATTTTAACCACGAAGTTTGAACTAAAAATTCAAAGATTTGTAAATCAACAAACAAGATGTTTGCATCCCAATATATCAATAGATTTTATTTTATAAACAAATCATCGGATTCCTTCTACTTAGCTTGTGCCTGCCTATTCTATTCATTCTACAGTTGTTACCTAAACCTTAAAACTAATTAGACAATGGACAAAGATCTTTCTTATCCAATGTCAACAATAATGCATTTAACTTAGCCGAGACAAGAAATGAGCCACTTACTCCACACCAAAATTCCCAGATTATCCAATCCAACGGCCCACATCATTATCGCACCAACTTCCAAAACCCTTAATCAGCGGCCACCATCATTCTAACCATTTCAATCAAAGAATTACGCAGGCCCCACACACCCTATCCCAAAACCAAAACGACATAATATAATGATACAGGCATACTTTTCATACAGTTCAACTAAATTTAATAACGGCCCCCACCTGTCGGTGCCTCTCTCCTGCCACGTCACATCCAGTTTCCTCGTTCACCGTTATTTTTCTCCCCCGCCAGTTACTCTAACAAAACCCCCATATCACCACAACTCCCACAAAACAACTTGAGTGATCCCTATACTTCTACAACTGTTTTGATTAAGCCCTATATTTTAAATCATGTCAAATCAATCATTTTATTTTCAATTGAAGATAATTTGATCCCTTTTTTTCAACTCTTTTACAAAATAGATCTCTGAATAGATGCGCACTTACTACTATAGAATAAATGGAGACCTCAAAAAGATTTAATTTTGAATTAGAAGAGTTTCTTTGACTAAATTTAAAGTAGATGACCTTATTTGATCAAATATAAAAATTACAAAGACTATAATAATTTTAAACCAAAACACTCATGGTTCTGCTTTCGGTTACTAAAAAAACCATGAAACATAGCCGTTGTTAATTTATTTCTTGCACATCTTTCAGCTCTCTCTCTATATCATTTTAGCATGGAAAATCTTGACAGATTTTATATTTGAGTACTTTTTCAGAACTGAGATCGCTATTGTTTTCATGCTACTTTAACCTTCAAAGAAATCATAACTTGTACGTTTTCACATTTCTATCTTCTTCTTTTTTTCTATCTAATTCATCTGTGTCATGCGATGTGTGATTCATTGTAATGCATTTTCTTAGCATGGGACTAATTTGTAATGTTGGGTTTTTAACAATGTTTGGTTGAGGCTGTTTGTTACAGATCTGAAAAGTTAAGGTATGTGTCAACTGTCAATTGTACTGCTCTATTGTAGTAAGGTTGTAGTGGCTTACCTTATGTTGGGTTTTGTGCTGTGTGTATTTAGGGTTTTTGAGAAATTGAGCTGAAAAGTTAGGAAGGCAAAGAACAAAAAGAGAGGGGCATGAAATCGAGTGAAGAATTTTTTTCTTTAAAAATTGAAATGAGTCCACCTTTTGACCAAAACCCATTATTCAAAGCCTGCAAAAGTTTCATTCTTTAATGTTTAGAAAAACCCAGAGTTCACCTCTACTTTTTTAGACAATTATCTTGGAATCTGGCTTTTCTTTTTCCCTCGTTTATTCACATTCTGTGTTCAATTTTTTAAAATTTTGTACTTTTTTATTTTATTTTAATTCATTTTCTGGTTTTTTTTTTTTTTGAAACCATATATACCATTTTTTGCAGGGAAAGAGAGAAAGAAAGTGAAACAAAACCCTACAAAGAAAAAGCAAGAAACAGCTCGTTTTTTGCTTCCATGGAAGCTAAGCACATTTTGTGTTTCATTCTACTGGTGGGATTTCAAGTAAGTGCAGAGCCAGTTGAGGATAAGCAAGCATTGGTTGATTTTGTCAACAATGTGCCACATTCTCGGTCTTTAAACTGGAATGAGAGCTCTCCAGTTTGCAATAACTGGACTGGAGTCATTTGTAGTGGAGATGGGACTCGTGTGATAGCTGTCAGATTGCCTGGTGTTGGATTTCATGGCCCAATTCCACCAAACACTCTTAGTCGTCTCTCAGCGTTGCAGATTTTGAGCCTTAGATCCAATGGTATTAGTGGGGAGTTTCCTTTTGATTTTTCTAATTTAAAGAACTTGTCTTTTCTTTATCTTCAGTATAATAATTTATCTGGGTCATTGCCAGTTGATTTCTCTGTTTGGCCTAATCTTACTATTGTTAATCTGTCCAACAATCGGTTTAATGGGAGTATTCCTTATTCGTTTTCGAATTTGAGTCACCTTGCTGCTTTGAATCTTGCAAACAATTCACTTTCCGGTGAAGTCCCTGATTTTAATTTGCCAAATCTGCAGCAGATAAACTTGGCTAACAATAATCTTAGTGGTAGTGTACCAAGGTCACTTAGAAGATTCCCTAACTCAGTCTTTTCTGGTAACAATATTCCATTTGAAACTTTTTCTCCTCGTGCTTCACCTTTTGTTACTCCATCTTCCACACCTTATCCAAGATCTAGGAATGGTAGGGGACTTAGTGAAAAAGCACTGCTTGGGATTATAGTTGCTGCTTGTGTTTTGGGGCTTGTGGCATTTGTTTTCTTGATAGTTGTTTGTTGCCCGAGAAAGAAGGGCGAGGATGAGTTTTCAGGGAAGTTGCAGAAAGGAGGAATGTCACCGGAGAAAGTGGTTTCAAGGAGTCAGGATGCTAATAATAGATTGACTTTCTTTGAGGGGTGTAACTATGCATTCGATTTGGAGGATTTGTTAAGGGCTTCTGCTGAGGTATTGGGAAAGGGCACATTTGGTATGGCTTATAAGGCAATTCTGGAGGACGCAACCACAGTGGTTGTGAAGAGGTTGAAGGAAGTGAGTGTTGGGAAAAGGGACTTCGAGCAGCAGATGGAGGTTGTTGGAAGTATTCGACACGAGAATGTGGTTGAACTGAAGGCTTATTACTATTCCAAAGATGAGAAGCTGATGGTGTATGATTATTACAGTCAGGGAAGCATTTCTTCCATGCTACATGGTACGTTGCCTTTTCCAACATCATGTGATTGCTTATATGCTAGGAGTTCAACTTTCGTTGCCATTTTTAAAACAGCAAAATTGAAATGCCAATATGTGTAATTTTCACTTTTGGAAGCAGATGCTTTCAAAGACCATCCATGCAGCCTATGTGCAGGTTCTGTTTCTGTTATTGACATAGCTGTGATTAATCATATGAGAATTCTGTTTCAACTAACTGGAAGAAATTCACTAAACCTATCCTCTAGATGGGTCTGATAATGTAATACTCTAATACGTATCTGCTTAATGTATGATACACGCTTGTTGAAATGTCTCCATAAGGACCACAACTCAAAGGCAATGTGGCCTACTTCTGTTATATTTTGAAATGGGCTTCAGTTCATGCATGATATGTCCAGCTCGCCTTGCTAGGTGCAATGTATTTTGGAGAACTAAATATGGACTTGTCATTTCATCCTCTATGGCTTGTAACTCTTACTACCCAAAAGAACATACGCAAGTAATAGTGCCAGCAAAGTATATGCTTATACCCTAATTAGGAATAGTTAGGCAGAGCTGTAAGATTCAACAGAAACTGTGGCCCTTGAGTGCAATCAAAAGGGAATCCTTTCCTAAATTGTAGTTAAGCTAGTGGTTAAATTGAGAACTGAGATTCTTGAAATGGAAATAGAGTTTCATACTTTCGTTCAAAGGTTAGATGTAAATATTGAGATAATGTCCCAGGCATGATTTTCTGAAGTATGTTCATGATTTTTCTTTTCCCATATGTGAACTCTACAATGTTTGAGTATGTATAATTAGCAGAAAATCGGTGATGTCAAATAGCAGTAATTTTAGTGGTGAGATCAATGTGAGACATGACTGAAAAACCATGACATCTAAGCTTCAATACAATTGATTTTTCTGAAACATTAGACTATTATTTGCCAAAAAGGGTTGATTTGCTCTGTAGTTGAATTTGAACTGTACGCAACTTTCTAGTGTGATTTGCTGACAGTCATATCTCGTGATCAAGTATGGCTATTCCTCAACCTTAAGAATTTTCTAGTAGGACATACTGGTGATGGATGCTTGAGATCCCTCCTCCATGCTATTTTTATTGTGTGTAAATTGGTTAATGATTTGAGAGTTGCATATATCCTCAAATGCATCGGTAACTCTTTCAGGAAAAAGAGGAGGTGAGCGAATCCCTCTTGATTGGAACACCAGAATGAGAATTGCTATAGGTGCAGCAAGAGGCATTGCTCGTATCCATGCAGAGAATGCTGGGAAATTTGTCCATGGAAACATCAAATCCTCAAACATCTTTCTTAATTTTCAGCGGTATGGTTGTGTATCTGATCTTGGTTTAGCAACTATAACGAGCCCATTAGCCCCACCTATCGCTCGTGCTGCTGGTTATCGTGCCCCTGAAGTAGCAGACACCCGGAAAGCTGCACAGCCTTCTGATGTCTACAGCTTCGGAGTGGTGTTATTGGAGCTTCTCACTGGGAAGTCCCCCATTCATACTACGGGTGGTGATGAGATTATCCACTTAGTCAGGTGGGTTCATTCTGTTGTTAGAGAGGAGTGGACAGCTGAAGTGTTTGACGTTGAGCTGATGAGGTATCCAAATATCGAGGAAGAGATGGTGGAGATGCTGCAGATAGCAATGTCCTGTGTGGTAAGGATGCCAGATCAAAGACCTAAAATGACAGATGTGGTGAAAATGATAGAGAATGTCCGACAGATGGATACTGAGAATCGCCAATCTTCTGAAAACAGATCTGAAAGTTCTACACCACCACCTCTGGTGACCGAAAGAGAATCCTGAATCTCAGTCAGAGCAAGCAGAGCCATTGGTCTGCCTTTTTTTTTATTTTATTTTTTCAATATTTTTTCCAGTCTGGTTGTTTCTCATCATCTCCATTTTTCCAAACTGTTCAGATGAACTAATTCTGATGAAACTTTTGTCATCATCTAGAACCTGGTGAGGTAAGGTAGGTCAAATCAGCATATCAGTGGACTGTTGATGCCCGAGAAAGTGGTGCTGTGCATCAGCAGTTTATTGATCCATGTAAATGTTAAAGCATTCTCTCTCAACCGATATGCTTGATAGAATGCAAAATCATGCTAGTGCATATTTCACGAATTATTACTTCTGCACAGTGCAAACTTTGATGCCCACTGTGATTGTCGTTGTCTAAAAATCACTCTGCTTTGGTGCTAAACTGATCTTCAGAAACAGCAAATAGTGCTTTTACCTAGTTTCCTGCACTGGCAGAATTGGTTATCTGGGTGCTTCTTTTTTGCTTTCAGCTTGCAACAATTATGAGGCTCAGGTTCTATAGCTAGAGACTGCTTCGCAGACCAGCCTTAAGCAAGTAAATGTGATTTAAAAGAGAGAGAGAGAGAGACAGAGATGCTGTAATTTATCATTTCAAAAATAAAGATTTAAACTTTATTACTAGAGAAATTAAATAACATTTCCAAGCATAATTTTCAAAATAAGTTGTCTTTTTTGTGTTAATTTGAAACCTCTAGCCTTCAATTTTTTTGTTAGGTCTATTGTTTTTCCAAGCTCATTAGAGTTCCTCCAATTATTTTCGGTGAAAAACAAAATGTAAACAAGGTAAAACTAGAAGGCGACGGTGAGCCGATAATTCCTCCTCTTTAAGCCAAAACAAATAAATAAAATGAAGAGAAAAATGACAGAAAAAGATGTAAAAATAAATCAAGAAGAGGACTCATCCATTCTTCCTGACCTCTCATTTCTTTATTTTTAGCTTTTATTTATTCTTTCACCTTCTCTCCCATGTCACCCAGATCGTAGAAAGATCGCATCCCATCATTCCCTATCATTGCATGAGATAAACTGTCTTTTCTTACCTTCAATCATCCTTCTCACTTTTACAGTAGTCTGTTACTCTCATCGCTATTTTTCACCCTTCCAAACTTTACAACTGATTACGGAGAATATACCAGTCACAAATTCAGAATTAACATCAATAAAACAGAATATAACTGCAATCATTACTTTTGTTAGTTATGTTTCCACAAAAGATTACCTCGTCAAATAAGCTCACTTTCTCTCACCATTGCCAATTAACCCAACTTCGAACTTCAAACATTAAATGCGTAGAAACGACACATGAACCAATATAACCGCGTTTTTATTACGTAAATTACATGTTCGTCCTTCAATGTTTTTCTTTTAGCATTTTAATCCCTATAGTGAGATTTTGAAAATGCCTATTGCCAACCTTTACACTGCAAATTATTGTGTCATTTTTAATATACCAATTCACCTATCATCTAAGAGATCGTTTGGTATATTTGTGGTTTCCATTTTCTGTTTTTGTTTTTCAATTTTTTGAAACATAAATAGAAAAATTGATTGTTTTAAATTTTTTTTTGTAGAAAAAAAAAAAAGCAAAACCAACAACTGCAATCATGATTTTTAAAACGATTTTATTTGGTTTTGAAAATTTTTTACATGAGATTGTTGTTTTTATGTTTTTGAAAAAAAAAATGTTTTTTGTTATGTTTTCCAAAACTAAAAAATAAAAAATGACCGGGGCTGTTTTTTTTTTTCATTTATTATTTGTACTACTAAAAGAAATTCACATGAATATTTTTTTAATTTTTGTGATTGTTTGGGGTTTTTTAATACTGATTGATGTCTTTTAAATAGCATGTGTTCCATGTATGTAATGATATATTTACATGATTTATGTTATATTATCTACTTTGATCACAAGGTCTTAATATAAAGATGCACTTTGAAACTTTGATAGTCTATAAAAACTACTTTAATATCATTTAAAAAAGCATTCTATGTGAAATTATCACTAGTTTCATAGTAGTTCAGACACTACATGACTTTTTTATCAAAAAATCTATATATTTATGTAGATTTCATCATAAAATAGTATTTTTATTATGACTTTATATATATATAACAATTTTAGTCCAATTTTTTTAAAAAAATATTACTTGTTTTAACCATAAAGATCCGTGAATTTTTTTTTAAAAAATGAAAGTCATCCCATAAATTTGAATTTTGATAACCCTTGTAAGTTCGGAATCACTCTAGGACATACAAATGCAAGATACAAAAAGAATTGGAAATGTAAGGGGTAAGTGCATCCAAACTTTTAGTAAAGGGATTAAAACGTCCAAAATAAAAAACCTGAGAAACAGACATGTAATTTGCCCCATTTTTATTACAAAAACACTTGAGGATTTAAAAGAATCTATCTCAAAAGAGGAATTATTCACTGTACGAGAACTGTATTCCGCCATCTTACAAATACCAACGTGGGTGCCACATAAAGGATAAAAAGAAATCAACCAATCATAAATTCATACTAACAACAATAACACCACCTTATAACTCTGGGTCTTATGAAACTGAAATCTCTCTCTTCATTTTCCTATTTCAAAGAATCTTCAATCAACAGCAATAACAGGAGGGGGATCTCCCAGGTACTCAACGTTCTTTCTTTAGTCACATGCAACTGTGCTGTGATGTTTTTTTTAAGTTTTGATTGATTGATTGAAAGATCTGGTGGAAATTTACAGTGAGGTTTTGTTGAGTGATGGCATCGAAACGGATCTTGAAAGAACTCAAGGATCTCCAGAAAGATCCTCCTACTTCTTGCAGCGCAGGTTCGAATCGAGATCTAATCGCTTTTTATTTCTGGGTTTTCGTTGTTGTTTTAGTATGTGCAAGAAAGGAGCTGGCTTTATGTGTGAAATATTTTGATTTTTTATATTTATAAATAATGTTTTATAAGTTTTGGATTTTTGTTTACATGTATGATGTATCCTTTTGTAGTAGTCTTGGAAGAAAAAAAGGTTATTTCTTTTTTGAGAGTGGTGATTGTGTGATGAGCATGTTTAGATGGAGTTTTAGCTTGACCGATTCAGTCTATGTTTGTGATGATGAGAGACAGAGAAACTTGTTTGCGGAGGGAAATTTGACTCAGCAAGTTGATGGCTGTATTTGTTATTGATGGAAAGTGGTATATTATAATTTGGACATAGATGGCCTTCCATTCAAAATAAGGTATCAATATGACTGGAAGGCAAAGACTAAGATTAGTGTCCAGTTTATATTCATTGATTGGAGTAAAGAGTTTGGTTTCAAAGATGTTCTAAGCTCTTTACCTATATGCTGAGCAATATGAATCCTGGGCTATTGTTATTTCTTTTGGTCGAACCTAATTGTGCAGTATTCCTTGTACCATTTCCTTGGAGCTTTTATGATACTAAATCTTGTTAAATCCCAAGAATTCTTTGTTTAAAATCTTTGATGCGGTAGCTATAAGAGAAAATGTAATGCTCTGTCCACAAACAAAATAGTCATTTTCTGCCTTTATATTGCAAAAATTCTGATTGGAACTCATAGCAATTCCTTTTATACTGCAAACATTACACCTCTATCTGCTTCTTTTCCTTTTCTTTGTTTATGATTTATTATGAATAACTTCCAAACTGATGTTTTTTGTTAGTTTTAGAACAGTTTTTGTTGTCTGATTTTCTCTGCTTTGGTTGATTTGCATTGTCAGGCCCTGTTGCTGAAGACATGTTCCATTGGCAAGCTACGATTATGGGTCCTCCTGATAGTCCGTATGCTGGGGGAGTCTTTCTAGTCACAATTCATTTTCCTCCAGACTATCCATTTAAACCTCCCAAGGTACTTGACTGACTTTAAAAAGGTCATCATCACATGACCAATTCATAAGCTCTTCCCTAGTTTGTCATTTCTTTCAACACTACCATTATTTGATTAGACACTCCAAATTATGGTACTTTCAGATATTGGGTATATTAGCATGAACACCTATAGCCTGAGTCATTAAGAAAGATGGAAGGATTTTGTTTTCCTTCCGGGAAAACATAACAGGAGTTCATCTTGAAATGTTATGTGTAAGCTGATACGTCTTTTGCTGAAGAGCTCTACATAGACATCATACCTAACTTAAAACCAATGGTTTTGGTTTAGAGTTGTGGCCACAATTGCATTAACGGAAGCACTTTGGTTGTTGGGAACATTCATCGCTAAACTGTATCCATGCGAACCTCAAACTCTGTCCATAGCTGCATGGATTTGTTTTCTATGTAACTATACTCTTCTCTTCGTTGCTCAATTGATAATAGAATATTTGACACAAGATGTTAGACATATAGACTCCCAGAATACCATTTTGTGGAGTTTCCGCTTATCAGTTCCAAAAGATTCAAATTGTGGACTTATGAAGAGCATCTGCTGGTAGCAAAACAAGGGTTTATTTTGAAGGATTTTTCTCTTGTCAGGCCCAACCAAGCTGCTGCCTTTCCTTTGAAGATGAGTATTTTCTTTTTACTGAGGTCCACAGAGATACCAGTGCAGAAAGAGAGAACACTAAATCCAGAACTTCTGCTTGGAGAGAGAGTCATGGCCACAGTCTGGAACATGCTCTAGATTTCTGAAAAAAAAAATTGTTGTTGAAAGATTTTTGTTCTTTTTTTCCTGAGAAGCAAGGTCGATATCATACTTGGTAGTCCTAATGTGTGTGTGAGCGGCACTCAATGCAGATGAATAGAAGAAGGATACAATTATATCCCCTTGAAGAGCAAATAACGAGCACTTTTTTGGGCACTTTGTGCTTCACCTCATCAAATTTGGAATCTCCTGATATCGAATTCTAAAAACCAGCGAGAGGTTTCCCATTCTCCTTTGATCTGTCTTTGAAATGCTTCGTTGGTTATCGTCATTTGTTTTTACATTTTGAGAAGCTGTCATAAAATGGGCGAGTTTTTTTTTTTTCAGTTGTAGTTCAAGTTTACTCACTGTGTTGCCATTCTTTTGGATGTTCTTGCAGGTTGCATTCAGGACAAAGGTCTTTCACCCAAATATCAATAGCAACGGTAGCATTTGTCTTGATATATTGAAGGAGCAGTGGAGCCCTGCCCTCACCATATCTAAGGTGGTTATTTTGCAGTCACCTAAATAGGCTGTTGATATAATATTGCCTAATACTTTTTTGTGCTTCTTAGAAAAAAGATATACCGAGCAAAATAAGGAAATATGCACTCCTGAATTTTACTTGTACTTTTGGAGTGTGCTTGCACATTCGTGGAAATTTTTTTATCTGCTCGTGTTTTTGTTTTCTTTGTCATGCCTTATGTTTTTTTTGGGGGCCATTATAGCAAATGCACCATCAGAGATAGTTCATGTAGTCTTGAAATTGATCGCATGCCACAAAGTTTGCTGATAGATTCCAATCTTTTTTAAGGTCTCATTCATAACAATGCTTTTTTTTTTTTCTTTTTTCTTTTTTTGTCTTTAAATGTTATCTAGAGCACAAAGGAGTATAGGATTTGATTTGCATATGAGTCTGAACATATCATCAAATTTCTAAATTGTAAATCAACAAGATTGTTGCTGGCTGTTATTCCCATTTTTAAGTTGATATCATAGTTCTTAGAACAGTTCCTTGTGCGTGTTGGTCAAGTGCAAGAAGGTTTTCCTGAAGTTTGTGGTCTTTAGTTTTGTAGACGATGCGTGGATAATGGTTGAGGATTCATTCCCAATTCTTTGTTTTCATTCTATAGTTTTAGATATTTGCTTGGAACATTGGAGCTGTCAGTTTGTCGCCTGATGGCCTCATAAATTCTGGAAATTATACTCTGATGTGCTGTCGACTTCAATTTCTGCTAGTTGTGGTTTGTTTGCTCGTGTTATGCAAAAGGAGAGTTTCTCATACTTTATTTTCAGGTGTTGCTTTCCATTTGTTCTCTATTGACGGACCCAAATCCTGATGACCCTCTGGTTCCTGAGATTGCCCACATGTACAAGACTGATAGGAGCAAATACGAAACAACTGCAAGGAGCTGGACCCAGAAGTATGCAATGGGTTAATGTGCTGCCACGTGTGTGATAGGGAGGGCTTCTTTCCCGGTGGCTTTGGTCTTTAAATTATTATGTATGAATGAAGAAGTGTGATCTATGCCTCTTATTAGTGGACCAAATGGGAGAGGACTATACATTTGCTGCTTTAATTGTTTGTATGAGAAATTGTCTTTAGAACTTTGAAAAGAAAAAAAGTCTTAAATATTCTACTGTGTCAACCTTGCATCCCTATTTTGAAAACCATGTTCAGAAACCACGTCGGAGGATGAGGATCATCCTCCAGGGCATACCTGCAACTCTCATGAGTGATTGCAGTTCTTGTTTTCCTCTCTCTCATCACTGGAAATGTCGGAGTCCTGGAACAGGGTTATTTTTAACTTGCAGCAATTAATTCTTAAAATGCATCATGGATGATTCTTAAAATGCTTGGGAATGGTGGCAGATTCAGTTGTTTACTCAATAACAGGTTTCTGAAATATTTAGAGTAAATTATAAATTAGTCCCTCGTGTTTAGAGAAACAAATTAGTTAGTCTCTTTTTTAAAAAACCAATTATCTAATTTTTTACGTTTTAATTCGGTTAACAATTTGTCCTTTCTTTAATTTATTATTAGATTAACAATTTTTTTTAAATTTTGTTTTTCAATTTTTGGTTGAGGGGAAAGAGAAATAAAGTATCAAAGAAAAGATAATTTGAAAAAAAAATCACTAATTTATCAGGAAATTTATGAAAAGACTAAGTTATTGATAAAATTAAAACATAAAAGGTTAAGTTATTAGTTTTAAAACAAAGAGGACTAATTATATCATTTCTCTAAAACAGGGACTAATTTGTAATTTAATCCAAATATTTAGCATAAAGTTGGTTTTTTCAAAATATCGAAAGGGTGGTGCCAAAAGAGAAGATAGGAAACAAGAAAAGAACATGCGAAAGAAAGAAGGATCTTGAAAAGAACAGGCGAAAGAGAGAAGGATCTTGGGCATTTACAGACAATTTGACCGAGGTCTAAAAGCATCGACAAAATCAATAAAGCAACAGGCTATATGTTTTATGATTCGGGTCGCAGAGCCTGCAGGCAAGACAGGCTCTTTGTCCCTGGACCTCGGCCTTGACTCCAAAGCTTCAGATCATTGTGAACATGCTAATAGGCTCTTACCACTGATACAGGGCTAGACACTTGGGGTTGATAAAATGTTACCTAGACTAGATCCACAGGGAAGAGAAAAAAATAATACTATATTTCTAAAGTTGTTTTTTTGGGTCGAATCATGAAGGGAGAGGAAAGAGAAGAAAGAACGATTGTGGCAGAAAGAAAACGAAATAAAAGTTGCTGCATGGCGCTTGCTACAGTGCTCTCCCCCGTGATGTTTTTCCCATTTTTTCACATTGAAAGGGCTTTTTTTGTAGCCGGAAATTAGATTCATAAATGATCTTTTAATAAATAAAAAAAAGGAAAAAATTAAAGACAAAATGACCAAAGACTTTAAAGCAATTACTATACTAAAGCATACGCATTCGACAGTCAGCGGATTTTGATTAATTGTTTTCTAATTACAAGGAGAGTCCATCTGATACTTTTTTCCTTTTTCTTTTTTTTTCGAGTGGCTGCGCCATTGTTCGTTCTCTTTATTGTACAATCTAATGAAATAGTAACAGTAACAATGACAGCAACTAGTCAAACTGATGGGAACCGAGTTCGAGAAAGATATTAATCTGATTTCATGAACAGTCTCCGACAGCCTACAATTTTTGGTTTACGCCAAAAATACTAAGAAGCTGAAAATTTTTCCACAAAAAGACATGAGTAAACTGGGCTGGAAACCCAAGAGATACAGGGCTAAACGGTTTATTAAAAGGACCTACGAGCTGCTCGTTGTCAGTTTCTATTATGCTTGGGGCATTCATAAAAGGTACCTAATGAACCGAAAGTAGCCCCCAGAATTTAAATTCATTCAGTACCTATATTGCTAAGTCCAGATTTACTGGCTACCAATGTTTCTACAATTAAGATACATCTAGCTTTACAGCAATATATTTACCGTTTCAGCCATTACCCTAAATGAAAGGTCGGTGCCACATTTATAAGCCAACCCCAACCCCCAAGTTATAGTATTTGGTGTCGGATATTTCTAAATTCATCAATTAAATTATTGTTCTCATCAATTTCTTTATAATTAATAAAAAAATATATTGATAATTGTATAAAAAAACATAAAAATGATAATTTTATTAATAAATTTAGCAATATTTTTTGACATCCCACCCAATACACTAAAAATAATAATTGTCAACTGTTGATATTAATCTATATTAACCATGTTTCATATATACACCTTCATTTATTTTTGTTCCATCAAAAATAAAAAAACAAATAACTTTATAATTTTATCTTCAACCTGCAATTGATGTTTTTTGAGAGAGAGAGAGAGAGAGGAGAAGAAATGAAATTATTGTAAAATGGAAGCATGGAGTATCCCCTTTCGATTCTTGTTAGATGCTAATTGTGCAACACGAGACAGTTTTGAGTCAACTGTATCTTCGATGCTAATTGGAAACGATGGATCAGACAAATTAAAACCACACCAATTTAATATCTATCTCATAAATATTTAATGTGGTGTTTTTTTTTTTTTTTGTTTCTTCCCCGTAAAAAGAGAAAAGGCAAATGACGCTTAGGTGTATTTCCATGGGGGGCACTGTGACCCATGTCCATTTATGTCTAGCATCATTGTATTTAAGGTGTTTAATTAAATTAAACTTACTGTTTGTTAACATTTCAAACATGAGAGACATATATATCTTCCAATCTGATTTTTTTCGATTTGAAAATTGCACGTGTAAACCCTAATGCAAGAAAAAAGAATTCAAATTAAGTCCCGGCAAAGGAGTCGTGCACACGAGTTGGAAAGTCAGCATAGCTTCCTAAATTCAGGGTCTTCAATCTCCTAAATTAATCACCATTTTATGTACTTAGGTTTTGTCACAAATGAAGACAAGAGTGACAAAAACAAGCTGATCCCCGCTCATCAAATATCTCAGTAGTGGATGATGCGGCCATTGTCTAGTCGCCCCATGTTTACATATGGAAGTTTCTGAGTTGGAAATGTCTGAGGTTGATTGATTCTTAGTATTGATAAACCTACTTTGGAACTAAATGATCATTATCTAATCATTCCTCACTCTCTTTCAAATCATTCAGTGAATGTCTATGATTTGCCCTTTTGATTCTTGCTAAAAACTTTTGCTAGTTGTGACCTTTAGAGGTTATGTTTGGATGGCATGTTCAATTCACTTCGTTAACTTCTTACACATTATTGCACTTGATAAAGTTGAGATGGAATCTCAATATTAATTAGCTCTGTTTCAGGATTAAAAATCACTATAAAATTATTCCTTCCTTGCATTTTAATCATATCCACGATTTGATTTTTTAATACAGTACTCTAAAACATTCACTGTTTGTGACCTTTCGATGTGATGTTTGGGTTCGATCAACATAACTTCTGACACATTATTGTGCATTAAAATCAAGATGGGCTACTGTCATTAATGCTGCTTGACTAATCTGAAGAAAGAGAGGAAAGCAATAGAATTATTTGTTGAGAACCTGGCAAGATCCTTGCGTTTTAAGATAGCAACTATTTAATTTGCAGCCAACATTTAGTACAAGAGTTAAGAGGTCCCAATTATACTTCCAGCAAACATACCTTCGAGAGCAACTTGCACTCTCAAGAAACATTGAATTTTACACCATTACTGAGGCTTACCTTGTAGTAATATCAAGAAGAAAACTGTGCGTACCATAAAAGGAATTAAAACCAGGGAACTAATGATGCATTAATGGTGCACCCAAAAAAAACGTACTAATAATAGTGAGCATTAAAAACTAATACGTACCTAGCCCATCAAAATTGTTGCGACATACATGATGATACACTCCAAACGTGCTTTTGTTTTTGTTGGCTACCTAAACCCCAAATTTCTCGACCTAGTGCCCACTTTTCAACTCTAATTAATCCAACATTTAGCTTGCAACAAGAGACACTTTATTAAAAGTTTAATTACATCATTTATCCTCAAATTATTTAGTGCAAAATAAGCACTACCAAAATTTAGTCATCTTTATCGTTATCTTCTACATCATCTTCCAGCTACTAGTTGTTAAAAGAAACAACTAACTATTAGGTTGTGAAATGATCGGTAAAAAGGATGAGAAACGAGTTGGAGGTTCTTTAACAATCTTATAACTTTATGCAACTAAGTATATATGTTGCTAATTTGACTAACATATTACTTGATGGTAGCCTTCATCTCCTTGATCCTATAAACCTCCTGGATATTATTATCAAAATGACGCGAAGTGGTAGAGAAGAAGTTAGCATCGGAATATGAGTAACACCGAAACGCATAAGTTTCAATGTCATACACTCTCTGCTTCTTCTCTCCTTCGACGTCATCAAAATATATTTTGGACATGTTGATATCTTGAAATGATGCATCACCCTCTTGCTACTTGTTAGCATTTGTTTCTTGCATTGATCTGCATGTGCTCATATATATATATATATATATACACACACACACCCTACCACTACTATGTGTGACCATTTATCAATGAATGTTCCATCATTCTACTTGTAAGTGGTCACGAACAACTTGTAAAAATTTGAGTTACGACCCAAATTATTTTGCTAAAAAAAATAAATAACATAATATGAAATAAAATAAATGAAAAAATTAATTTATAACATAATGAATAATATGATATTTACCAAATGTTCGACTTGCTCGATCAAAGAAATGGACCCTCCGAGTATGCTTGGATGGGCTAGCATCGACACCATCATCTCTAGCATACGATTTCGATATGCCTTGTTGAGATCGAGCTCGATACTCGGGGAGTGGCCCATTCCCAATGCCTTGCGGAGATCGGGCTTGATACTCGAGGAGTGACCCAATCTCGGTACTATGTTTCCCACACCTCCTATTTAATAAACACAAATTTGTTA